GGGGGTCATCTAGACCCAGCTCTCTTTCCTGCCTATGCAGGGGGTCGGACTTGATGATCTATTGAGGTCCCTTCCGGCCCTAACGTCTATGAATCTAGGGCTTCAACATAGTTTGGATGACCTGGCTGAAGTCTTATCTACAACAAAAAGGAACAGAGCTTTCACCATATTGGAGAAAAACCTTGTTAAGTCCCTCAACCTGGCTGTATCTTCCTTGTTGACTTAAATAACGGTTTTTTTAAGACAGAATTATGGTGACATCATGTAAGTATATATTATTAGTGAGGAAGTTGTGGCTTCTTTTCATGTACAGACTAACCCTTGGTTTTGATTGCAGTGCTTTATGTCTTTTTATATATAACTTCTGTGGTGATAAGGGTTAGGTAACATACTCACAAGTGTTTTGGCAGGTGAGTTGGTCATCAGAAACTTCTCTGAGCTACCCTGTGAAGTTGTCGCATCAATTACCCTTTTGTTCGTTATCTCACTGATTTCGGACTGTACATGAAAAAGAAGTATTAAGACTGTTTTTCTTTCAAAGACATACATAAAAACATACCTGCAGAAATATTTCATTTTTGGAAAATATCCTGTTAACAAAGGGTTTTTCTCCTCATGAAAGATAGGTTAGACAGCAGTGCACTGCTTTGCCCTGACGTATGAGAATGAAAATTGCTGATTTCACTGCAACTACCCTTGGAAAATAAAATTAAGTATATGTGTAAGTCTGTGCAGCATTGGGGTCTTAGACAAAATGAGCTAAAATTATTGAAAGGTCAGAAAACCGTTTCTGTAATAGTGGCTCATCATCTGGGGGACATGGCAGTTTAAAACTACAGTATGGATTCTGCTTTTGCTTATGCTGATGCAAATCGGGAGTAACTTCTTTGTCAATGGAGTAATTGCTCCCTTATGCCAATGCAAATGAAAGAAGAAACTGATCCTCTCTCTTTTTCTTTGTTATCCACTTCCTTTTTCTACAATGGCCTGTTTTCAGGTACTGCTTGACACACAGGCTCCATAGTGACTGGAGCAGTACAAAGTCCTAGACAAACAGACAGAATAAATTACTTTCTGGTGATCACCATACATGAAATTTATATAAGTGCAGATTTAACATGTACAGTAAGCTCAAAATAGCAATAGTAAGCCAAATACTAGGGTCTAGTGTTTTGGGATAAATATATATTTTGGCTCTTGACAATGCTCTGTGTCAATAGTTATGTGTATTCACTTTATAATAATTAGGAAATTCATTTTCAGCAAATCAGTATAACTTTTGATTTTGAATACAGCACCTACTATTAAAAAGCTATTTTACTTTATTGAGTTTTGTCAAATAAATATGTGTTTGATTTTTTAAAACTAGTTAAAATACTGAGGACAGAATCTAAGAACTAGGAGAGTATGCTGAGTTTTAGATCAAAGGTTTTTCCCTTATTGTATGTGTACTTTAGGTTCTGCTTTTACCATGTTAATGTTCTCCAGAGTCTGTTGCCAAAGTGCCTGAAACAAATCCAGCTGTTGTTGAAGGATCTAAAAACCAAAAAATTAAGGTTTCACACATCAAGATGAGCTGGCACAATTCTCTCTATTATTTCCCCTTCCAGTTCAACTGAATGTTAATGAAGTGGGCTAGTTAGCCTGATGTGCAGACTAGTCGGCCCCTGATTCTTGCAAATGTTGTAGCCCTATGATAAGGCTTCTTTAATTATAACTGGTAGCTTGGTCTGCTCCTGCTGCTGAGGTGTAAGACATAAGGTACAACCCAGGTTGTCAGGGGCCTCTCTGCTGTCACATGATTAAACAGGTGACCGGGTGGAGAGACTCATTAGACAGTCAAATAAATATACTGTGGTGAAATCCTGCTAGATAAATATGAATGTCACTTCTTTAGTTCTGGTTGCTTTAGAAATGTGCAATTCCCATGCCTAATTCTTATGCATTTATCCATGGGGAAATTAAACTTCAAAAATCTGTGGTGTTTGGTAGTAATGATAATCAGGACCAAAACCACTTACTTTTATGCTGATTGTGGCTGGTTTTGAACTTCTGTTCCTGATGTATATTTATCTAACAATAAAAGCAACAAACCTGCAGTTATAACACCTACAGTTGGGAGCAGACATGTAAAAATCTCTAGACAAATACCACTATGATAGAGGAAGAAAATCACCTCTGCACTGGGCCTGGGAAGGAGGAGGAATGGCCTAATGTCCTTCACTTTCCTAAATTTGGTTTAGAGATTGGGGTGGGTGGGGTGAGGAACCGGTGTTTTACTGGAATGATACAACTAAGATTTGAGAATGGTTTGGTTGTTTCCATGAGAAAAAAGTTCCTAACACAGGATGGTGAAAGCTGGAAAAGGTGAGACTTGTGTCCTAGGTCACACCCCTTCCAGAAATGCTATCAATCCTGTTTCCTTTTAGAAAGACTAGGGAGTATGTCAGCTAATTTCTGTAGGGTCCCTTCATTGAGCTGCATGCTGCTGATGCAGAAACATAAGTGAGGGAGCACCAGACTGCCCCTCCTCCATTTTTGCAGCTCAGTCACAGCAGGTGAGCCCAGACTTTGAAGTCAAGCAGTTCCTATACCCAGTAGTGTGCATGGGGAACAGGTCAAGTGGAATGGCATCTTCCCCCACTTGGCATTTTTGCCACAGGAGGTGTAGCAATGTCCTGGGGCGGGGGGCAGGAGGAGGGCAGGGAAGCAAACAAGGCACCAGGGAAAGCCCCATGGGAGCCCACACTATGGAGCTATTGCAGCTGAACCCTGCTCACTGGCTGCGGCATCTCTCCATAGCTGTCCTCAGTGCCTTGTTTGCTCCCCAGTGCTTCCACCCCACATAGACCACAGGGCACATGGCTGCCAGGCCTTCTAAGGCTGGGTTGTGCCTGCTGTAGCAAAGACTTTGGGATCTGTGTGTGGGGTGGGGGGTGCCCTCTTCTGAAGTTGGTACACACCAAACTTGTGTCTCAGCTGCAGCAGCAGAGGCTGCCAGTTCAGAGAGCACCGGGACACCCGCAGGTTCTCCGGTGTTTGGCAGCGCTCTATGCAAGGCACTGTGGGAGCTCGCTGGGCCTGTGCAGGAAACGGGAGAATAAAGCGGGGGAGGACAGACTCGTCACCCGAGGAGCATGCTCTCATGTTGCTTGATAAAAGCTTGCCTGCTTCGCTCTGCTCTGTGAGGAATGTCACCATAAAATCGTGGTTCCGTCTTTCTTGGCTGGGACCCCACTTGCAGGCATGTGACTCAACTTTCATTCACCACAGCCTGTGCCCCACATCTGGTCTGACATCATAGTTCATTATGGTATGGGAATGTGATGACATCACAGCATGCCATGGTATGAGGATGTGATGACATCACAGCAGGTCACAGTATGCAGATGCGATGACGTCACAGCACATCCTGGTGTGAGGATGTGATGACATCACAGCTCCTCAGTGTTGGGATGCAATGACATCAGCACATCCTGGTACAAGGAGACAATGACATCACAGCACGTGATGGTGCCTTCCCAGGTATGGGGCAAGGCGGGGGCTCTCACCTGGCCATGTCTGCTCCAGGACCCTGGAGGCAATGGTGAGCCTGGCCGACTCTGGCTCCAGCTCCTCCCGTACCACACAGCTGTCCTCCGAAAATACGCCTGTCCACACCACTTCTGGACACATCTGTGTACATGACTCATGGTACCCACCCCCCTGCCTCATCCTGGGCTGTGCCCACCTGCACCCACTCCCAACTGCGGCTGCCACCTGAGCGGTGCTCAGCCTCTCCACATTGCTAGGCAATGATTCTCTGCAGGCAGCATGGCCAGTCACTCCCAGCACTCGCAGCATGTGCCAGCACCCCTGGGGGACGGGATGCTGCCACCCGGTGAGCAACTGGGACACCAGCGCCCCCTGGCAGGGCCTCAAGCCCCAGCAGGGTTTGCTGGGGCGGGGGGTGGTATATACTTGCACGTGGAGCAATGTGACGCATGCTATTTTACAGCGCCTCTGGGGCACAAGCCCCATCCTCTCCCTCCAAAACACGTGGCAGCTCTTATGCACTGCAGACCCCGGGAAAACCTTTGGGGAGCAAAACTGAAATACAGGGTGGGTCTGATTATAAGCTGTCTGTTTTTCCCTTCCCCAAGAATCATGGGAATCCCGGGCTACTTACCTGCAGGGCTGCCCTAGGTTTTGGGGAAAAGGATCTTAATGAAAAGATAACCTTGGCCGGCATCCCGAAGGGCTGGGCAGCGTGGGGTCATCTGCTCCTTTGCAGCAGGTCATCTGCTTTGCTGCCCCCTGCCCAGAGTGGATGACTGTGCCCTATACCTGGATGCCGGAGCTCATAGGCCTATGGGGGTATTGCAAAGGGTCATTGGTTCTGGGAGGCTTGGGTCATGTAGGGAGGGGCTGAGATGGCTGCATGACTCAGCACCCTCCTCTTCCTGGGGATCTCCCTGGTCTGCTTCTTAGAGCAGGAGGCAAGCAGGGTAGGAGCTCAGAAGCCCAGAGAGCCCTGTAGCAAGTTAAGGCTTTCAAACCCCCCGACTCCAATATTGGAATCTGGGAAAACCTGGTTCCCCAGCTCTGAGACAGGTCACTGCTGGACCTACAGAGCAAGGACGCAGCTCACAAGGTGACTGGCAAGAAACCAGGTGGAGTTAGATACACTTCAGAAGTGTGGACATTAAAAAAAAAAAGATTTTTATTTACTATTTAATTATTTTGCAGTGGACTGTGCATTTATTATCTGGAAATGGCCAGTGCTCCTGAACATTTCTAGCTCTGAATTTAAAAATGTCCCAGGGTGAATTTAACCTATTTAAAAAGACAAGATAAATGCCACCTTCCAGGATACAAACTGACTGAATGAACTGTGCTCACACTTTTAGGAAAAGGGCAAACCTGAGCTGACACTCAGGGATACTTAAAGGATACTTGTTTATTTTGATATTTTTAGTCCATTTAACCTTTGGGGCCTTTCCTTGGTTATTTGAGTCTCCTGTGGGATTTTGTAAGGGCAAGAGCAGTTCAAGGATTTTATCTGTAGTTAACTCATATTTGGAGAAAAAGCATTTCCTAAAACTAACCTGAAAATGCAAGCCTGACATGTGCAGTTAGTTTATAATTGGAACAAAGCAGTAAGTAAAAAAAAAAATCTAGAAAAACCAGAGCCTGTTATTGGATCACAATCTATGGGCCTTGTCATGGGGTCATTTGCAACAGTTGCAACTCATGGAATGTTGTGACATGTTAAAGTATGTTCGGATGTAACCCTTGCTTGAAAGGGGATAACTTTGCAATGCTGTGAGGACACTTAATTCGTGCTAAACTGCTTGAATGTTTGTCTGCTTGCACTTTAACTGCACTTAGTAAGTGTTCAGTTGAATGTGTGACACCACTCGTGTCCTGTCACAAAGGCTAAAAGAATTGTCTGCTTGAAAGAGAGAATATATCCAGGTCATGTGGGAGTCATGACTCTCAACCTACCAGACCTGAATAGCCATAATATTTAAGTTTCTCAGCCTTCCCAAATAGTTCTACGATACACAGTTGGTGAACTCTTCTTACACTTGTTGATGGACAGCTGAAGAGTTTAGTGGCTGGCGCTAGTCCAGCAGTATTACAAAATGACATCAAGCATTTAAGTCCTATACTTAGCAACTTATACATCTGAAATACATGTTTGTTGTTTGTTGGACTCATTTTTAAAAAGTCTTGGCCTATGGCTGTGATCTATAGTTCACCAAGAACAAAATGTATCACAGCATACATGTGTATCACTCATAAGTGAAGAGAAAAGCTGTTCACTTTCCAACAGCAGATACGAGTGTTCTTTACTTCTTCAACAGTTGCAGAGGAAACAGAGTCCTGCTTTGACATGGAAAATCAGTTCCTTCTCTATTCCAAGTGTTTTGTTTCTTGTATTTATTTGAATATCTAGAATCATCTTCTCCATCAGCCATGGTTACTGGGCTTGAGTTGGCCCTCAGGCCGACTAGCACTAATGCGACTAGCACTAATGACCCTCCATTGCCTTAAGTGGGGTGCCTCCTGAATTACACAGATATAAGGGAAAGCAGAATTAAGCTTGTTGTTTTGAGTGAGATGACAGCAGGTATAACAGAGGGAAGAATTTGTCCCCAAAGTCTCAATTACAGTTTATTAATAGTTGTAGGTTTTAATAAATCACTCATGTTTAATTTTATACTGTAAATAAAGTTCTTCAGTTTTGTGTTCAGCATTATGCCAAGGGCAAATCATTACTATTAGATTGAATAAATTACCAACCTATTTAAGAAATGATTTTATGATATGAAATATCTGTGAGGAAGTTAGGGGGCTGTGCTACAGGGCAAAATAGTAGGAAGTAAAACAGTTGCTTAGGTTGATTATTAATAAAGTTCTGGATCTTATGGAAGTAAAATGATTTGAAATCATTGGCTTTTGGTTCTTGCTCTTAGAAGGAGTCTGGTTCTAAGTCCTGAATGTATCTATCAGTCGGTAGTCATAGCGATCCCTGTGTACTACTTGCTAAGATTATCCACAAAAGGAATTACAAATGGTGATATTAAGGAGAATTACTGTGAAATAGAAAAGCTCCTTGGAAGTAACTTCTTTAGTAACTTTTTAGGTGATACCTGTGCAATCTAGTTTCACCCAAGAGACCCCTAAGCTTCTGGTAGAATAAGCAGGAAAGGGTGCATCAACATATGACACTGTCACTATAGCAATGCACTACAGCGACATAGTGTCTGTGGACAAGAACTATGATGCTGCAGCTATGTTGCCATAGCAACATGCTCCTTCATTATAGTGTGTTGCTATGGCAACGTAGTACCAAAAAATAACTGCGCTATGCACACAGCGCAGTATGGGCTGTTACTGCACTGTCATTAATTATTTCCAAAAGGAAGTAATAAATAACGGTGCAGTAAAAATGGCACCATAGGGACATATGTAGACATGCCCAAAGGCTATGGAAAATCAGTTTCTCAGTTGATGGAAATTGCATGCTTATACCAGCAGAGGATTTGGGCTGGAGCTTGAGTTATTTTGTGGGATTCCCAGATCCATCAGTATAGAGCATGATCAGAAAGAGTAGTATCCTTATTGGACCCCTGGAAGGACAAAAAATTGTATCTGTAAATGTTCTAAAACTCTAAACGTCTCGGCTTCAAAGAAGCCACTACACTAACCTTATAGGGCAAGGGTTTTCAACCTTTTTTAACAAGTGTACCTCTTCAGTCTCAAAGTTTCAGCTCATGTACCCCTTTATATTTTTTCTTGTTTTTTAAGGGTGGGGGACAGATTGAGGCCCCTGTGGTGAGGGAGCGAGTGGGTTGGGGCAGGGGCAGGTGCTGCATAGGCGGAGGGAGAAAAAATTATTTGGGGGGGCTGAGCTTGTGCACCCCCCCAGCAGGTAAGTCTGTGGAAGAAGGGGTAGGGGAAGGGAAAGGGCTGTGCAGGGGTGGGGAGGGGGCAGATCAAGGCCTCCTGTGGTGAGGGAGAGAGCAGGGCACAGGCAGGAGCAGGGGCTGCGGTGAGTGGGGCCCCACTCACCGCAGCCCCTGCTCCTGCCCTGCTCCCTCTCTCACCATGGGGGCCCCAATCTGCCCCCCCATGATAGTAAGGGAAGGAGTGGGGCTGGGGCTTGAGACCCCCACAGAGCAGGAGGGAGTGGGGCAGGGGCAGGGATGAATGATTCACTCCCTCCTGCACTGTGGGGATTGTCCCATGACATAGCCGGGCTGGGGCCCCATTCACCATGAATGGGGCCATGGCCAGGCTGGGTCATGGGACAACTGGAGCCCAGCGGCTTGTCCAGGGGCACAGTGTGGGGGAGCTATTTGGGGTGGGAGCATGTGCCCCCCACTTTGGCTTCCCCATCATGCACTCAGCAGTGGGAGCCCCTGCCCATGCCCCTGGATGAGCCACTGGGCTCTGATTGTCCCACAACCCATCCCACCCCAGCCCCGGCCCCATTCACCATGAATGGGGCCCCGGTCGGGCCGAGTCATGGGACAATCCCCACAGTACAGGAGGGAATGTGGCAGGGGCAGGGGTGAATGATTCTCTCCTGCCTCTGCCTCTGCCCCTGCCCCACTCCCTCCTGCATTGTAGCGGCTCGATTTGCCCCCTCCCCCAAGCCCAGACACAAGCCTAGGCCACGCTGTGCTCGGGGCAGGAAGCAGTGGCACTGTGAGTGGGGCTACAGGAGGGGCTGCAGCCACCCCAAAATATGCCACAGACCCCCCAACCCTTTCCCAGCCCAGCCCAGCCCAGCCTAGCCCAACACCCCACCAGGAACAGCTCAGCACTGTCCCAGCCCACAGCAGCCCGCAGCCTGACCTGCCCTACATGCTGAAACAGGGGCACACCCCCCCCATGCCCTTCCAGGGGTGCATGTAGTGGTGGCACTGGAAGGGGGGGGCCGAATGGGGCTTCCACATGGCGGCTGCCGCTGTCCCACTTGGCCACACACTGTGCTGCTTTCTCATGGCCAGTCACAGCTCCACAGACTGCAGATGGGCCTCATGCCCGGCCTATCACATGCCGCCGGGGGCAGGCACAGAACACACTCCTCCCCACCACCATTCAGACCTTCACATCTCTGCTGCAAGGGGCTAATGGCCAATTTGGAGAGCAAGCTCATGGGGGAGGGGGGGTGCTGTGCAGGGATGGCGGCACCTGGCGCGCCCCTCCTCCTCCCCCGGGTAAGAAGCAAAGTATGGGAACGTGCCGGGGGAGATGCCACTGCTGCGCCCTGGGGCATGCTCTATCCCACCTGCCCACGCATAGCCTCTACAACCTTTGTAAGTACCCCTGGGGGGTACGCATACCCCCGGTTGACAACCTCTGCTCAAGGGACATCTTGTGATGAGGGTTCCATGAACTACCTGGGAGGGCTTAGCTACCCAGGTAAAAGAAACTAACACCTTTGAAATGGTTGCTAAAAGCCAGGGACCTGATGTCCCTAGAGGACACTAGACAGTCACCTTGCTGGGGCCACTTGACCCCCAGTTCTCTTCCCTGCTTGGTGCAAGGGGCTGGACCCGATGATCTTCTGAGGTCCCTTCCAGCCTTACAATCTATGAATCTATAAATCTATAAGTAAGTAAATTATATTTAAGCAACGTATTGAAGGATAGTTGGATGAGTTGCAGTTTCTCTCTTACATCATAATAATTTAAAATGTAAAATACATAATGTGAAGATGAGGATTAAATCTTTTATGCTTAAACACCTGTCAGGTATCCTCCATTCACTTCCTTTTTCTTTTTTTGTTTGTTTCTATAAACAGATTGATACAAGAATTAAAAAAGTTGGGAAGATTAAAAATATGGCCTTTTAGATGAGTCACAGTGCAGCTGCTTATCTTATTGATTCCCAATATACCTTTTGAAGCCTGAAATGAATGGAAATTTTTTCAATCCTGGGCTTTCAATATCTGGTAAAACCTCAGAAGCTGAACAGCAACACATACTAGAGCACATAGCCATTGCAGTTTACTGAAGAGGGACTTCAGCAATCTGGGTTTCATTTCTGGCTCTTTCATTGGTCATCAATGGTTAACCTTAAGCAAGTCATGAGGATAATGATGCCATCTTTGTTTTTTAAAGTACTTTGTGATTTGCTGATAAAAAGTGCTATGGAAAAGCATTGTACTATATAACTGGAGCTTCAAAAGAATCACTAAAGATTACATGACTTTTTCTAAACTGATGTCTGGCAGTGA